TCCTTTCCCCACCGCTGCCTGGACCCAGCCGCATCACTCTCCCCCACGCACAGGAGAGCTGGGGCACGCCGCAGCTTGCAGAAATATATCAAGAAATAAAGCGGAAATTTTCCTAAACGCCCTGTTTCTTTGCCAGCCGCAGTCTGGCCCTTTTTCTCTTGCTACGGGTGCGCAGCCATGCTCGTGCTCTGAGCTGGGGCTGGCATTTCCTCGCAGTCCTGCCCTCCTCCCGAGCTCTGCCCTGGGCCCGGCGGCTGTCCCTGCCCCGCTGCCCCTCACCGTGGCCTCTGTCACTGACAGCTGGGGCTCCCGTGCTGGAGCCAAGCCAGGAAGAAGCAGCTGGGGGCGAAGGGGATGAATCCCACCCCGCGCCTTCCATTGTGCCCCGGGCAAGGACTGGCACCCCAGCCGGGGATGTGCAAACCACCCCTTTGGCAGGGCTGGGCATCGCAGCCGTGCCAGCACTGCATCCCCCTGCGCCGCCGCAGAATGTGCCACCTCCTCGCAGCACCCACACGGGCAGCCTCGCAGGCGGGCGGGCAGGCACACGCTGCATGGGGTCCGCTGCACACCTCGGCAGTGCGTCCCGGCCCACAGGACACTCAGGGGAACGCAGTCTGGCTGGCTCGGGGACCCGTGTGCGCCAGGGGGACGGTGGCACTGCCAACAGCACTCTCTGGACAGCGGCGGGGTGCAGCCCCTGCTTTGCCAATGGCGCTGTCACGCATCCTGCTCGGCCTCGCACAGCTCCGCTGCAGCCAGCGGGCACGGGTGGAGTGGTGGGTAACCCCAGAGGGACCCCAGGAGTCACCTGGGAAGTGGCTCAGGCGATGTCTGGCTGGGTTTGGCCAATAGCTTGGTGGCAACCTAGGACCTCCAGCGGCTGACGCGGCAGATGTTTGCAGGAGGCGCTGTCGCAGGGTACTTCGGTGCGATGCAAGAGGCAGAGCTGGGGAAGGGCTTCCCCGGGCAGCGCTGGCCTGCTGCAGCCCTTCCTTCCCGCGGCAGCAGGGCCGCCCGCACCCCACGCGCTGGGGAGCGGGCGATAAGGGGGGCGGCGGCGGGCCCCCCGCGGGGGGGGGGGGGGGCGGCCCGACCGCCGCGTGTGGTGCGGCCGGCGGGGCGAGGCTCCCCGGGGCTGGCAGCGGAGGCGACCCTGGGGTTTGCTTTTGGAGTGAGAGCTGAGGAGCTCTGAAATGCAGCATTTTGGGGGCTTTCGAGGGGCTGCGTTTTGGCTTGAGGTCGTCACGCTGGCTGCGGACGCCGGGGTGCCTGTTCCCCGTGTGGCGGGGAGGGTGCTCAAGACGACAAGGGGGAACCGCTTGTGGCTCTTCCAAAGCAACCTCAGTTCCAGCCGGCCCCCTTACGTCTTCCCAAAGTACATCTCTGTGTATCCAGCCGAACTCAAACCCGGGATCTTTGCCTGGGAAACTCAAGGTACAATGTCAAATGAAAGAGAATAAAACATCATCACCACTGTGCATTAGAAAAGCCATTTAAAGTACCACATGCCGAAGTGACCAAACAGTTTCAAGCTAGCTTCGCTGCAGGCGCTGAGCAACGCCAGGGGCTGCAGTCCCGCTCTGCTTCCTGAGCAGGTGCCTTTGGTCCTGGGAGCCGGCTCAGCCGGGGGACGGTCCCAGCCCTGGTGCCACCTCTTCCCTCCTGGAAATGGCCCAGCTCCGCCAGAGACACGGGGGGCTTGGGCTCCAAACGCTGCTTCTCTGCCGGCGGTTCTCCAAGGAAGAAACAAAAGCAGAAGAAAACCCCCGGCAGGACACATGGACTCACCCAGGCAGCCAGGACACCCCTTCTGCAGCAATACTCCCTCTGCAGCCATCTCTAGCCCTTCATGGCCAGAAGGGACCATGCAAGGTTAGGGCTGGCTTTTGGGGCTGTTTGCACCATCTAGCTCGGGGGCAAACTCCGTCATGACCCTCCGAGCCAGGGGGTTTGTGGTCTTGAGCAGTTCGGCAGCAGATGGCCGGGTACCGGGGCTGGTTTTGCTGCTCTTCTTCTGGAGCAGGGCTTTAAAGTCTTCGTTCCTGCTGGAAGACTTCCCGGTGCTGCCTGCTGCTGCCAGGGACTCGCCGGTCGGGGAGCCTGAAGTCTTTACGGGCGAGTGGGAGTTGGGCCGGCTGCCAAAGGTGTCACCAGGCTCTTTCCGCCCCAAGACCTTCCTCTTCGACCTAGGCACCAAAGAGACAGGCGGGGGGGGGGGGGGGGGGGGGGGGGGG